ACTCAGCAAGAGGGATGTGGACAAGGGGCGCGGGCTCTAGCTGCGTCCAGAGGACAGAGGTGGGCTCAGACCTCAGGGGGCCTAGTGGCAACTGTCAGGTCTTCTGACTTCAATTTACAGTCATCTAGAAAGTTGTGAATAGAGACCCCAACATTTACTACATATTTCTATGAAAGTTTACGCATTTACTACATACCTGTGAAACTCACTCATAATTTTGAAAATGTGTACTGAACTCATATGACTTAATGAAGAAATAACTTTTTATATGCAGGTCCAAAGAGGGTTCTCACCCCCTAAAAGCTAAAACTTACTTTAAAATCCATAATTTGACACGATTTTAAGTTCTATATGTTTACCCTGTTGAAAGGGTTAAGTTTTTTCTTTAGAGTTTGGCCAGCAAACTCCAACCTTCCAGCATGGCTGTCTTTGGAGAGGTGATGATTTCCAGCTTCTCTCACTGTCTGACCTCCAGATTCTATTATAGAACCGAACCATCATTTGTGCCTTTGTCCCCTAAATATCATGTCGTCATTTAATCATGTAATTCACTACAATATGTTTATAATAATACCCAAATGCCATTGTTCTAATCTATGCTACTTGGGCTTATTTGCATTTCCTCTACATGAAATGTGTCTCTGCACATTTTCTTGGCATACTCCAAAGGTTGCAGCCTTCCTTAAGGAAGTTTTACTTAGACACACCCAAGAGCAACTGTGTAATATCAGTAATACTTTAAGCATTTTGGTTTATTAAATCAGACAGCACACCAAGGGAGATCTGTGTGATAAGAGCTCAAACCAAAAATCTAGACCAAACTTGGTTACTAACTAGCTGAGGCACCCTAAACATTTGACCTAACTTCTCCAGATTCCAGGTTTTCGAAACTAAAAGGAAGCAGTTGGACTAAAGGAAATACATATAACTTATCTGTTTACATTTCATTGACCCCCTCTTTGTGCATCAGAATATAAACTTTCTGAATCCCTCCCTCCTGGTACCTACCAGGTACACAAGGCTGCTCAATAAAAATGTGAAGGAAATCAATTCTCACTGAATAAACACAAATTCAATATAACCCTAATTGGGATACTTTTGGAGGAAATGTGCTTTTTAAAATATAAGAATAAAAATATAAAAAGAAAAGACTAAATTATGGTGCACCCATACTTGTTTAAAACTACATAATTGTAAATATATTAAAATAGAACAAAGTCCCAGATAATATTGTTAAGAGCAAACTGCTAAACAGCTCATATATGTGATTTAAAAATCATACTTATTAATATGTATAAACATACTAGGAAAAAAATATATATATAGTAAATAGTAATTATAAGAGGGCTTTAATTGTCTACATTATACATTCTATATTGTTCAAAATTTCTACAACAGCACTTATTGTTATAACCACAAAATAATTCTGTAAACTTGCAGTAACCCTAAGAGGAAGAACTCTAGGCGGTTACTTAAGAAGAAAGAAACCAACACAGAGAAAGCCAGTGAGCTACAGACATCCTTACACATGGGGACATCTCTACACTTCTAGTAGATGTCTCCAATCTCCTGTTTCTACATAAAATCAGAATCAACTATTGGACAATCAAGACTTCCACTTTCTTTCAAAATAAATGAGAAAGACAAAAAGAGACTTCTTTTTTTGTCTATATTTGGAGGGAGAGAAGCTGAGGGGGAAATGACAGATGGTAAAGAGAATAAATTATGTATACTTGTCCCCATTGACACTATAGCTACATTGTAGTCACGATTAGACAACTATTCAGAGTGTGATTCCCAAAGCTCCACAAGTGGAACCTAACTGACACCACAGATTACATTCACATCCTCACACTTGGGCAGTTAAGCAAACTCTCATGGATCCACAATTCCACTAAGCATGTATCTTACAAATACTAAAAACACAACAACGGCAACAAAAGAGAACAAAGCTCTATGATTCAGTTTTTCACCATCACCTTCTTTAACAATAGCAACAAATTAGAAACAATCTAAATTTTCCAAGAGAATGGTTAAATACACCCATACTTTCATATGATACAATATTCAGCATTATTTTAAATGTTCACCAGGGGTCCTACAAGGTGACAAATGCCTAGGTCATTGTTCAGGAAGATAATATGCACTCATACACAATGAAATTCCATCACCTCACTTACAAAAACATGCACAGGGGGAAAGAAGGGACTGGGAAAACATCCTAAAATGTTTAACAACAGTCATCTCCGGGTAATGAAATAACAGGTGAGGTGAACTGTTTCTTCTTCATACTTCTCTGTGTCTTCTGAACTTTCAACAATATATAAATGTTACTTTTAGATTAGTTTAAGAGTTAAAGCTTTAATCAACAGTATCAGGACTTACATTAAAGCTGCAAATTTATTTTAGGCAATACCATTGTTTAAAAAATCCATTACTGTTCATATACTGTTCTTTACGTCTAGGTCTAGGAAAAACAAGCTAATATTAAAATTAAATTCTGACTCCCAGGATTTTCAAAGGTAATACAGTAACAGCAAGAGGCACTAATACAATCTTCACTGTAATAACAGCAGGCAGCAGCTGAAATGAAGAGGGGGCTGAGACCTGACACTCGTGACCTGAGGGACACACTGGGAGCACAAGCCAGGGTGAAGATCGACACAGACACTCCAGCTCCACCACTGCTGCTCTGTGTTCACAACCTCTTCCAATCGTGGAATGCCACCTGTAAAATGGGGACAAAAACCTCCTCTTCCATTACAGTAAAGCCTGACTGGTAGATGGTAACGATAACCCTATATGCAAAACAGAAAAAGAGACACAGATGTACAGAACAGACTTTTGGACTCTGTGGGAGAAGGCGAGGGTGGGATGTTTCCAGAGAACACCATTGAAACATGTATATTATCTATGGTGAAACAGATCACCAAGCCCAGGCTGGATGCATGAGACAAATGCTCGGGCCTGGTGCACTGGGAAGACCCAGAGGCATCGGGTGGAGAGGGAGGTGGGAGGGGGGATCAGGATGGGGAATACATGTAAATCCATGGCTGATTCATGTCAATGTATGACAAAAACCACTATAATACTGTAAAGTAATTAGCCTCCAACTAATAAAAATTAAAAAAAAAAAAAAAAAAGACTGATACAAAAATATGGAAAGCATTTTAGTTCAATGCTCAACAAATGCTCAACATTTTTAATGTTTAGTTCTGGAAATCATAATTTAAGAGAGGCACTGTGATTAAATAGAATATACCCAGCTGTGCAACAGAGATGAAAAAAGACCCCAAAACTGAAGCATCAGGAAACTCTGGAGGCCACCAGGCAGATTTAGCTTGGATGGGGACAGCAGAGGTGGCAGGAAAACTGAACACCTGAGACCCACAGGGAAGCAAACTTATTCAGCAGTGATCGGAAAACAAAGCTTAAAAATTACATGGACACAGATTTTCAGCTGTTAGAAGCAACAACATGTTTGAGCAAATGATCAAAGGGAAAAAGCCAACAGGAAATACTAAAAAGGACTTCCCTCCCCAGCACAGTAGGGGCATCGGAAATGCCAATACACTTCCTTCTGTTCTTCCTTTCTCCATGATAAACTCATCAAGCAGTAGCCTGATGGAGGCAAAATTAATATACTCTAAAAATCAGATTAGATTTCAGATTACTTTATTCTAGCTAAATTTAGCATTACTAAGAGCAGTTGAATTTCCTATGTTCCACTGTATTTTAAAAAAAGACCCTTTTTGGTGAAAATTAAACATTTCTTTACCATATGAGCTCTCTGCATGTTAAATGTGCAAACATGCGTGTTACCTATACAAGAGGTGTACATTCAATATGTATCACCTCTAACTCTTATCTGACAGAGGAAACCTGTTGACACTGACTATAAAACACAATCTGGGAAATTCCGATCAAAGCCTGAGAGTACAGCCTTTATTCACAGTTCAAGTTTCCTGACCAACATTTACCACTGATGCTTTCTAAGCCCTAACACATTTTAGAGCATTGATTCTTACTCTATTTTTTTCAAAGAGCCCTTGAAAAATTCAGTTCTCATCAGGAAAACATACATAAACCAAAAAGAAAAATTGACATGTGATTTCTGAGTTCACAAATCTCCATAAATTCCATCCATGGACAACCCCACACACTGAATAATTCTCAAAGAGGGGAGTTTAGTTTTTTCTGTCTTTAAAGCTATGACAAAAAAAACCCTTTAAAAATAGCAAAGACTCCAGGATGGGGAATACATGTAAATCCATGGCTAATTCATTTCAATGTATGACAAAAACCACTGCAATGATGTAAAGTAATTAGCCTCCAACTAATAAAAATAAATGGAAAAAAAAAAAGAAAAAAAAAAAAGCAAAGACTCATGGCAATATATCAAATATAAAATTATTCTTGCCTGGATCATCTGAGCAGAGGGGACAGAAAAAGTGAAAAGGCAAACTTGGGAAATACAATTAATCTCACTCTAGGATCCCCACCCCTTAAAAGAAACCCCAAAGTAGCTCAGAATATTCATGCTCACAAAACGTAAACAAAAAAGAGGCAACTCGAAGTTCTGCCTCTGGCCAGGCCGAATCGTACAGCATGAAATCTGTTTTCAGTAAACGCGTGTGCCCTCTGTAATCCTTCCACTAAGGAATCTGTTTAATTCTTCATCTTTATAGATCTATAAATTCCCAGCCAAAGGAGTTATACACTGAATTATCATTTTCTTTCCACTCTGAACCTTTCCTCCTAGTTACTTCAGAATATTAGCTACTTCCTCATTTTAAATAAAAATTATGAAACTATATTTTAAGAACCTTTAAATTATTATGACAAGACACAACAAAGAACATATTTTCAGATTCTTCAAATTACTTACTTTAAAAATGTAAAATAAATGTAATATATCTAGAGACTTTTAGCTACAAAGGTCACTCTAAAAGTTTGTAGTAAGTAAGAAAGATGGAAGATAAAAGTACTTTAAAACTTACATTTTGCTTCTGATAGATTTTGATTAGGTGACCAGACCAGCATTCCAAGATTGTCTCGTTCTTGACTTCGTCTTGCTAGTTTGGCTTGGGAGAAATAAAAAAAGAAAATTCTTATTAAAATTTTAGCAGACATAACTAGTGACAACTAACACCACCATTCTGGTCTGTTTTAAACCTCAGAAGATGATGACATCACCCAGCCTCTACTGAAATCTGCCCCAATGGAACCTGTGCCTTTAACATGGGCAGGTGCGGGGGGAGTCCTGAAGTTTGCTGAAACATTTCTGTTTCCAAGTCTTCTTCTACCTGAACTTTTACTTATATGACAAACAGGCACATATGAGGTAGGTGTGACTACTGTTCTCATTTGCTAGGTGAGGAAACAAACAGGTCACTCAGCTGCTGGGAGGCAGACCTGGACTGAGCTCGCTCTCAGCCAGGACAGCTGCAGCGCCTGAGGGTTTAGTCACCACGGACTAAGATGCTCTGCGCCCAGACAGGGACACACGGAGTGGGAGCTGATACGGCATGGGAAGCTGCATGCGGCAAGTTGCTCACGGATTCTTTTCAACTATGAATTTTTCTTGTGTGCTTTGCATAACCTTACCCTTCATTGCCATTAGCATACTGGGTATTTTAATGATTTGACAGCAGGAATTCAAAAATTCTTTTAACAACTTTAAGAAAGAACGTTATGTATGTGTTTAGTTGCTCAGTCGTGTCGGATTCTTTGAGACCCCATGGACTGTAGCCTGCCAGGCTCTTCTGTCCATGGGGATTCTTCAGGCAAGAATACTGGAGTGGGTTGCCACGCTCTCCTAAAGGGGATCTTCCCAACCCAGGGATCAAAGCCATGTCTCCAGCACTGCAGGCAGATTCTTTACCAACTGAGCCACCAGGGAAGCCCTTTAGAAAGAATAACCAACCATTTAAAAAGATTTAAACTGAAAGGAAATGTGTGAAGTGCATTCAAATTCTTAAAAATCTGTGATACAGAACAGTAGATCAAAAGGTATACAAATGACATGTACAACTGGACTGACCACAAACAACAGTTAAAAATTACAATACAGACAATTAAAAGATGTTATCTTCAAAAGGTACAAAAGACTCAAGAGACAAGAGGCTCACTAATATCAGTCTTTAGACTGATTTAGATCCAAACTCATTCATTCTAAAGACATTCTCTTACTTGATCTTTTTCTCTTTAAATAAATTTCTCTGAAACATGATGAAAGTTTTGCAACCTACTTCCAGAAAAAAATTCAACTTAAACACACACACCAATATAAACATACTTTTACAAAATTTATAGTCTTGTTTAAGAAATCCTGCTTTCATGAAATTGCCAGATCTTTTATTTAATTTTGTAAAACAATATATTCTAGATTTTAATGAATTTCTGTTAAAATCTGTAGGGCAGCTACTTTAAAGAAAACTGATGGAATGGTGGGAAGACTATGAACAAGGCAAGATTAAAGGTGGAATTTACCTGCTGGGTAGGAACAGGGTGTAATGAACAGGGACACAGGAGTACGATAAAAGATGGGAGTGACTGCTTTTAAGTCACTTTTTTATATGGTTTTTAAATATGGTTCTGACTTTTAGAACAATGTTAAGGCCACACAAAATCTAAAAATAAAAATAAAGTCAACAAATACCTGTGTGGGGCTGGACCAGACATGGAATACAGGCTTTCGGTATTTCAAATAAAAATCCAAAGTCAAAACAGAAATAAAAGAATGCACATTGAGAAAGTAGAATTAAAACTGATTTTATTCATAGATGACATGATCACCTGTGTAGAAAATCTACTGTACCTACAAAAAGTTATTAGAATGAATGAGTTTCGGCAAAGTTGCAGGAAACAAGATCAGTAGTAAAAAGTTGTTTCAATTCAATTTCTCTATGTAAGTGTGTAATCAAAAATCAAAATGAAAGAATACCCCTATTTAGTTGATAGATGTGACAGACGTGGGCTTCCCTGGTGGCTCAGGCGGCAAAGAGTCTGCCTGCAAAAAAACAGTCTGCCTGCAGTGCGGAAGACCAGGGTTCAACCCCTGGATCGGGAAGATCCCCTGGAGAAGGAAATGGCAACCCACTCTAGTATTGTTGCCTGGAAAATCCCACAGACAGAGGAGCCTGGCGGGTTACAGTCCATGGGGTTGCAAGAGTCGGGCACGACTGAGCAACTTCACTTTCACTGTGGACTTCCCTTGTGACTCAGATGGTAAGGAATCTGCCTGCAATGCAGGAGACTCCGGTTTGATTTCTGGGTGGGGAAGATTCCCTGGAGAAGGGAATGGCAACCCACTCCAGTCTTCTTGCCTGGAGAAATCCGTGGACGAAAGAGCCTGATGGGCTACAGTCTAGGGGGCTGCAAAGAGCTGGACAGGACTGGGTGACTAACATGTCAGAGTGAAAACATACAGTGAAAATTGCAAGATGTTTGAGAAACTAAAAGATCTAACTGAATAAAGAGATATATCATGCATATGGATCGAGAGACTCAAATGTTACTAAGACAGCACTCTCCCCAAAGTGCTCTATAGATTCAACACAATCCCATCAAAACCCCAGCATACTTTTTTGTGGGAATTGACAAACATTCTAAAATTCCTGCAGGAATGTAAAGAACCTAAAATAGCCATGACTACTTTGAAAAAGAGCAAAGCTGGAAAACATATACTGTCTGAACTGAACTAATTACGAAGATTCGGTAATCAAGACTGTGGTATTGGCACATAGAGAAAGAAATGAAACAGAATGGAATCCAAAAACAGAACCCCTCATATAGGATCAACAGATTTTCCACAAAGGTGCAAAGGTAAAATTCAATGGAGAAAAATAATATTTTAAACAAATGATGTCTGAACAAATGGATATCCATACTTAGAAAAATCAATAGATCTAGTCTTACCCCATATACAAAAATTTATTCAACACTAAATATAAACCCCCCAATTATAAAACTTGTAAAACTTGAGAAAAAATTTTTGATTTTAGGTTCAGAGAGATATTATTAGATAAACATCCAAAAGCACAATCCATAAAAGAAAAAACTTTATAAATTGGACTCATCAAAGGTAACAACTTATTTTCAAATACTACTAAAGGGATAAAAGCCAAGCCAAAGACTAAGAAAAAATAATTATAAGCCACATTATCTGATAGAGCCTTGTATCCAGAATAGATAAAGAACTCTCAAGACTGAACAATAAGAAAAACCTTAACTGTCAAGAAATGGGCAAAAGATTTGAATAAATACCAAAGAAATGGATGGCAAACACATGGAAAGGCATTAAAACCCAACAGTCATTAGAGAAAGACAAAACCACATGAGACGTCACAACATACCTACTATAAAGTTAAAAAGACTGAAAATGCCCACAGTTGGGCCATAATGTAGAGAAACCAGAACTCTCCTAAGCTGCTGGTAGAAGTGTGAAATGGTATTATCACTTTGGGGGAAAGCCCAGCAAACATCCTAAAATGGCAATACATCCATTTAATGGAATAAACCTCAGCAATAAAAAGGAATGAACCATTCAGGCACACGGTATGAACAAATCTCAGAAGAATCCTGCTGAGTGAAAGCGTTACAGATACAGAAGGGGAGGTGAGAAAGAATTGTGAGGTGCTTTGCAGAAACAGGTGCTTACTGTTAAGAACCAACCATTTTTAGTGTACACAGACGTACATATATGCACACACATAAATACATTACTGATCCCGGTTTGTCCACTTCAAGACTCTAGACACAATGACAATCTAGTAAGAAAATGAGCACATTTAGCTGTCAGACCTTGGTCTCTAAATATCATTTTACAACAAAGGAAACTAGATCTCCGTGGGAGAACAGCAGGCTCCAGACCTGGGAGGGCGAGGACAGGAAAAGTACAGGAGAACCCGGGATACTCTGTCACGCCAGGAGGGGAGCATGCGCAGTCAGTCACTTCAGTGCCCGGCTCTTTGCACCCCCATGGACCTTAGCCCACCAGGCTCCTCTGTCCAAGGGATTTTCCTGGCAAGAAAAATGGAGTGGACTGCCATTTCCTCCTCAGCGGATCTGCCCCACCCAGGGATCCAACCTGTGCCTCCCGCATCTCCTGCACTGCAGGAGAATTCCGTACTGCTGAGTCACCGGGGAATCCCGAGAGCTAGCAGGGTGCTCAAAGAATCATGCAAGCTATCTCCCATGGGTCAAATCTGCAATAATTTGAGCAAAATAAATGATTTTAATAAAATAATAATCCATAAATCATGAAATAATAATAATCTATGAGTTCATACTGACACAGACAAATGGATGGCATATAAAGGCAAATGAGGCCACAGCAGTCAGGCTGAAGCTGGATAACTTACACCACTCTGTTTTAAGACTCACTATATGAAAGTACAGTATTCAAGGCAGTGTGGTATTGGTAAATGAGACACACAGATCAACGGAACAGATGGCAGTCCAGAAATAAACCCATATAAATACAGTCAACTGATTTGAAAACAAAGATGCAAAAGCAACTCAATGGGGAAAGGATATCCTTTTCAACAAAGGGAACTTTAATAATCAGGACTTCCTTGCTGGTCCAGTGGTCAAGACTGTGCTTCTACTGCAGAAGGTGTGGGTTTGATCCTAGATCAGGAACTAAGAAAGATCCTACATGGTGTGCGGTGTGACCAAGAAGTTGTTTTTTTTTTTTTTAATGGATCTCTATATGCAAAAGAAGTGAAACTCGACCTATACCTCATACCTTACAGAAATTCAATTCAAAATGGATCTTAAATATAAAACTAAAGCCACAAATCTTTTAGGAAAAAATATGAGAAAATCTTCATGAACTTGATTAAGGAAAGCATTCTTAGATATAACACCAAAAGCACAATCCATGAAAGTTAAAAACAATAAACTGAGCTTCATAAAAACTCAGACTGTGAGAGAACATCTGCGAAGCACGGCACTGGACAAGGACTCATCCCCAGAACATAGAAAAGACATTTAAAACACGACAGAGAAGAACCCAACTTTAATAAGCGAAGCACGGCACTGGACAAAGACTTGGCTCCAGAACATAGAAAAGACATTT